AGCTAAAGTCAGTCAGGGTTCCCTGCCCTTACCCAGCATCTTCCGCAGATCCAAACTGGGTCCAACACTTTAATATCTTTAACAGTAGAGGGGCAAAGGTCAAATCCTGGGGGGGAGGTTACTGGGGAAACGATTATGGGTGTTACCGGCGGCTAGCGGAAGTAGCATTATTTCATTGTAATTTGTAGGGCTTTTTGCTAACCTACATTCATGATAGAAGTCACATCTCTCTTTTCGGTTAGAATACAATTTAGTAAAACATGTTTACGGACACATCGTCTGCTGTCAGAGAGCTGCTCAGTACAGATAATCGTAATTGTGAGTTTAATCAGGGGAGCGACAGGAACAAGATCGTTAAGTTTTGAAACGGAGTGACTGAATTAGCAGCTCTGCTAGCAGCTCGTTTCTCTGAAGAACTGACAGTAATAAAGAGAAAAGCAGAGAAGATTTGAGATCCGTCATAGATCTGAGTTGTTCCGACTGTATTAAACACCAGAACTACACAATAGTAGCTCGGTGTGATGTGAATTTTATTTTTCGTTTGAATTTAAAAAATAATAAAGTTCATGATCTGAGTATTTATCATTATGATTGGACCTGGAAATTGTATTTATAAGACAAAATAAAATATCTGGATTTATTTAATCCATCAGAACCAGAACCTTGAGGTTCTCCGTTGCTGAGTGTTGCTGCAAATCAGCAGAGAAATAACCGCAGCTGCTGCGCTCCAGACCGCAATACGGAGAATCTCCCCACTGGACCAGAACCGAACCGAATCACATATTAACCTGTTATAGAGAGCAACTTGCCACTGACAGTGTCGTAAGATGCCCTTGTGGAGCTCGGGTAACTGTTGTGCTGTTCTCTAATAATCAGACCACATTTATAGTTTGTGGCTGCAGCAAGTTCAAGATAACCCACATCTGCATCTGACGCAACTGAGTCAGTGAAGTAGCTACATGTGCTAGTGCGACCTGAAGAAATGCGGCCATTTCTTCAGGTCGTCATCCCTCCTCGCATTAGCTGTAGGTTGCAGTAAAACAATATTGTCACATATAAGCTTTGATCGTGGGTGTTCCACATATTTTATAGCCTAAAAGCTCTGACGAAAGTCGGTTAGGGTAACATGTAAACAAATGGCAGTTCCGGTTTGCGGCGGAAGTCGTACCCATAATTCACGCAAAGCATTATGGGGCGTAGGAATAAGGCGCTGATGACATTATTCATCCTTCCATTTCCTGCCTGGAAAATGAGTTCTCTTAATTACAGGATCATTTCACCAACATCCAATGTGCTTTCACCTTGTCCCCATTCAGGTCTAATAGAAACCTATAATGAGATTTTATCCTTGGATGTTGTTTAAATTGATGGTGTCCAAAACTTGATGTCCTCTGGTATCTATTGATGGTACATTTGAAGTGTCAAATCCTGACCTGATTTTTCTTTACTGCAACAAACCCTCATCAGATTAAATTGTTCACAATGTTTGATTTTGTATTGACAAGCCTGCTTCAGTTTTATTAAAACATTTAAATGTTTCAGATCTTTGAACAACTGAAGCAGAACCAGAACAGACGTGGCTACGATCACTCAATCTTTCTTTGGAGAGGAACATGAAAATAACCAGAGCAACACTAAGGAACTCACCTGCAGTCCATCTGCTTCTGGTTCCACCATGACCATAGAACTGACCTGCAAAATAAGGAATGGATCAAATAATCAGGAGAGCAAACAGGTGAGACAAGTGACAGGTATTCAGCTCTTATGAACAGTAGGTAAGAACAATCTGTATTGACGCAGTCCTTACCTGCACCGCCACACACAGACATGCAGTCCTCCTCAGACTCAAACTTGTTGGCATTCCCACCACAACCGCCATAGGTGAAGGACTTGCAGGAGTCGGAGTCAGAGTCATAGTAGAACATGGGGAAGGCGCCGCGGCACATTCCAGTCTGAGGGCTCAAACTGCAATGATCTGACAAAGATGCACAATAATTACCAACCAAGTCCATGAAGCCGAAGAACGACATCATCATGTCCAGCCCACTCTCTCACACCTGTGTCGTCTTCTGGGATCTTCTTGGAGGAAGGCAAGACAGAGACTCCTACAGCAAACAATGGGCGATTAGTTCCAGGCTTGCCTGCAGTGTTGTAGTCTGGAGTCTCTAGGTAGAACTAGACTTGGTAAATCACCTGTACAGGTGGACTTGCAACTGTCCTCGTCCTCGTAATTGTTCTTGTTTCCTTGGCAGCCGCCGTAGATGAAGGTCTGACAGATGCCTGTCTCTTTGTTGTAGTACCAGCGCTTAAAGTAAGCTCTGCATGGACCCTGCTCATACTCCGCTTCACACAGCTCTGCGATCGGACAACAGCAACCCAAAGAATCAACCAGGAAGCCCCCAAAAAACCCAAATAAACGTCCACCTCAAAGTGATCCTCCAAAAACAAAGGACTCTCCAGAGAAACCCAGAGGAACACCAAAGCATCCTTCCAAACATCAAGGAGGAACTTCAGGACCTTCCCCCAGTGCAGAGCTTTACTTGTCCCCCAGCAGGCCAAGAATTGTTTGTTTTAAATAGGGTCTTTATGAACCAGTAGAAGTGACAATAAAGACAGATTAAGCTATTTTTCTAGCTGACCCAGTGAACTGGGCATGAGGGAGTGAACACCAATTGTACCATCCCTGCACCTGCCCAAATTATGACACCTTATTCTGCACCTCCAAATTTTTGTAACTTAACACAAAAACATGGTGGGTTTCACTGGTCCCACTGGGCTCAGCAGGTTTTCTGGGGAAACCCTGCACCCCGAATGTTTCTGCAGAACCAAACGCACCAGAACACTTTGTGAGGAGTGAGACGTACCTGCAAACTGATCAGCTGAGATTTCTGCAGGAAACACAGAAAGAGTTTGGTGAGTAAAAGGCTCATCAATCCTAACTTCTTAGCTTCTTACAAACCGGAACATAAACGGACCTGTTTGTTAGTGGAGTCAAATATTGATCTTTGACCTATGAATAAAGTGCTGCTTTAACTGAGTTTGTGGAGACTAACCGGACTTGCGCAGGGGGGCCATCCGAGGAGCTTTGGGAGCCGACTCTGGAGCAGAAGTTGGGACTTCCTCAAGCAGAACTGAACCTGAACACACAAGTTATTAATGAGACATTAGCAGGTCAGATAAAGGTTTCCCTTCAGATCGATTGTTCATGGTTCCTCTCGGATTTAAAAGTGTTTTGTTTCACAGCATTTCTCAGATGGACAGAACAAAGAAGAACTGCTGAACTTTAACACATTTCCTCTCGGCTCCTAAGTGCCGTTTTCTCTGCAGAGCAAATAAAGCAGCTTTTGTCTGCAGCCCCGCCCTCCCGCCTGTTGTTGTTGGTTATCTGAACTGGGAGCGGTGCTGCCTGTCTGGACCCTCCCAGTTTGCTTTAAGATAGCATGTGATCACTCTGATGATCCAAAACAAAGAGAGACGGCATCTGATTTTCAGCCTGAGGCTGAAGGAAGCAGGAAGAAACCAGATCCACCAAGGATTACAACCCAACTTCAAACCTGAAATCTGAACTTTAAGGTTTTCATGTTTCTCTCAAGCTTCCTGAAGCTCAAATCAAACATTTCAGCATCTCGCTTCCTTATTTTGCTCTAGCACCAGAGGCGGAGCCAGAGGGGGGGCCAGGGGGCCAGTGCCCCCCGTCATCTGATTGGTTACCAGGATTTTTTATTTTTATTTTTTGCATGGTTTCGCTTCTCCAAAACGGACAGATGTTACGTCTGCCGCGCTCCTTCTGGGTGCGGGAGGGTAACATCTTCAACTCCATTTGTTAAAACTGCAGGGCGAGTTAAGTTTAATTCTTCGCAGCGGCGCCGCATTGGTTGTGCAGCGGACTGCGCATGGATCTAATTAACTTCTGCACCTTTATTTATTTCCTCAAAATAAACTGATGGCTCCTCTGTTTAGACTATAAATGGATTAAAACAACGTTGCATTGTCTTTAGGTTTCTCTGTTCTGTACTGGAGACTGGAGTTAAAGGCGCCATTTCAACTAAAGATTTGCAATGAGATTCCTAACCAAGGTGTCCCGTCCATCACTCTTCAACACGCTGTCAGCTCCCGGTCAGAAAGACGCATTTAGTTCAGTGTCCATGAGATGATATTCAGAAAGGATTTTTTTATTGAATGATTTTAGTTGCCTCTGCAGTGAAATCTTTGCGTAAAGTCCGTCATGTCTCCATATGAACCAGTCAAAGGTGTTTATATATATATATATATATATATATAGATGTGTGCACGTAAATTTTGCCTTTTGCCCCCCCAGAGGTAGTCCTGGCCCCCCGTTAGCCCCCCCAACTTTAAAAGTCTGGCTCCGCCACTGTCTAGCACCACTAAAGTTTGACTGGAATCTTGTCAAATTCTCAGATATGATCCAGAATCCAAGACTTCCTGCAGCCTGTCCACAGCGGTTCTGTGTTCAGTCACATTAGGTCAAACCCATCAACCGCTCAGTCTCTGGGATTTCATACCTTCATTTTGGTGTGGTTGTCAACCAGTGGAAAGAGTTTTACTGAATCATATCTGACAATTCAGCAAGTGCAAACTTGTAAGTTCAATTCCAGCTTTCTCCAACGCCACGTCAATGTTCCTTTGGGCCCAAGCCACGTGTTTCCTAACTTTTTACATCTCCAGACGGTTTCTGTTCTCTGACCATGAAGACCAGACCACTGGCAGGCCAGTGAGTGGATCTTACCGGTGACGCCGCTGCAGGCGTTGTTGCACTCTTCCTGGGACTGGAAGTTGTTGTCGTTGTTCTGACAGCCGCCGTAGATGAAGCTGGTGCAGGTCTGGCTCGTTACGTTGTAGAAGAACCTGGGGAAGGCGCCGCGACATGGACCCGTCTTTGGAGGCTGACGGCAAATATCTGAGAGAGACATGAACTGGAGTTTAGTTTCAACACAGAGGGCAGAAAAAGGGTTTTTTCCCACTCAGGAAACTTTCATTCCTGCTTGTTTAAGGGAGCCAGCAGAAGAAAAAAGAGATTTTCTTCTCATTGTTTTAACTCTGGAGGACCTGCGTCTCCCTTTGGAAGGATCTTAAATATTTACAAGAATGGTGGATGCCAAATGAACTGAAAGTCACCAGTGCCTCATTTCCACTGAGTGCTACAACACAATTTGGTCAACTATTTTGTCTATTTCTCTTGTAAAAGTGGACGGTACCACCAACCCGTCCCACACCATTCCTGAGGCCCCAGTTCTAGCTCTGCAGACTATGGTTTGGTACGGTTAGGGTGGAGCGACTGCCGTCATGACGGCGTCCATTGACCAGGGGACAACAAGAACAATAAAAACTTGTTTTTCATCGCAGTGGAATGACGCCACGTTGGGCGTTTGGGTTTTACCCCGCTTGTCCAGTGAAAGTCCAATCGGCGGTAGAGACGCTCTCCTGATTAACCATAAACTACTGGACCGACCCGCTCAGTGGAAATGAGGCTTTACCCTGGTCTTTTCTCATGTGAAATCTGATATCGTCAAAGTTTTCATGTTTCTTTGGACTTCGTCCTCCTTGCAAACGTAAATCCTATTGGTCAATATCACTTTTATTTTTAAATCAAAATTCCAGCGTTTTACACATTGTTACCATTTACTGTTGATTGAACTGAGTCTCAGCAGAAAGCTGAGACTCAGCTGTCGGTTTAATAAAGAGGACTGGTCGATCCGGCTCTATAGCCGTTTTACCTCCAAACATTGAAATTCAGAACATCTAATGTCTAAAACCAAACAGTTTTTGTTTCTCATAAAATGCTTTGATCTCCACAAGAATAATTCACAGCAAATTCCCATGTAACCAGTAGGGGGCGACATCCCAGGCAAGTAAACTATTTTAGTTTTCTGGACAATCACTGATCTTTAAAGCACCTGACCTGACTATTCTGATTGATTTTGTTTTAAAAGTCACCAAATACAGAGTTTGTAAGAAACAAGTTACATTTACTTGACTACCTAAATGTACTGTTACTACACTGTACTTTGTATTTTTACCGAAGTAATTTTATTATGAAGTATTGCTACTCTTACTTGAGTAAAATTTCTGGATACTTGACACAAGCAGCTTGTTTTAACCAAAAATTTACCAGACATGCAGTTTCTGTTAAAGTTTCATAAATGTTATATTGATAGGAATTTGCCTGGTTTATTTGATTATTTATATGAATTGATTTCTTTTTGGTCTTTAAAAAGCCAAAATTTTCCATTCAACTTACTCAGTGCAATCATAACTAGGCCTGTTGCAATAATCAAATCAATTAATTGCATTATAAATTAAAACTCAATTTTTATTCACATTTTTATCATTTTTTTCTCTTTCTACAAAAAACTGGATGGTAAAAGTTTTCAGTCTGGTGCTTTGTTCTCTAAACCCTTTATAAAGGACATTTTGTTAACAAACACTTTATAATTTGTCATTTCTGTTGTTTTGTTTATTTTTGGATATTTAAAATGTCTTCCATTTCCAGTGTTAAATGTTCATTAGAGTTTAAACATCTTTGAGAATGTGTTCTTTGATTATTACCATTATCAGTTTAAAATGGTCTCAAAACAATATTATCTTTTATTGCAGTAACGTCTGGGACAATTTATGTTCTTTAGTCTGACTTTAATTAATAAACAAATATAAACAGGTACTAAACCCCCTGCTGATTCATCCTTCTGAGGAAAACTCAAAGTTCTTGGAAATGTAAACAGGAAGTGATGTCAGAAACATCAGAAGTGGGCTTCAGGCTCCGCCCCCACCTGAGAACAGTCCAATCTGATCTAAACAAACACAAAGGTGAGGTCAGCTGTGTGAAGTGATCACACTGCTCCGTGCCTGAGGCACTGTGAGAAACGGCGAGAAAGTCAGAACCGGAGGAACCGGTCGGACCGGAACCAGACCGGGTCTCATACCTGAGCTGAGCCTCAGTCAGCAGTGAGTCATCTGCTACCTGTACAGGTGAGCTGAAAACAGCAGCGCAGCGTTGGAGCTTTAATTAGTTTTTGGAGTGTTTGCTAGTTTTTATTAGTTAAATATCATTTAGTTTTACTTTAGCTTCTATTAGTGACAGTTGTAGGTTTTTCCATACATAAGTTAATTTAGTTAATTATAACATGTTTTTTATAATTAAAACAAATTAAATAAGAAAAAAAAACTACAAATAAGTGGAACTGCATCATGTGGTTAGTAAAAATGGAGTAAAAATCACAGCCCCTCCTGGTGGCTAAGCTACGCTAGTTCACAAAATGGTGACATGCATTTTGAAAATGGTGTCTTCTGTTGAGTATTCATTACATAAAACCACCTGCAGTTAATTTTTATGTACAGAATTCAAAAGTATGAAAGAACTAAACCTAATAAAAACTGAACTGAAACTAAACAATATGTAACTATTAGAAACAAGCAAACACTCAAACTAAAACTGACAAAGTCACAACTAAACCGTAAAACCCAAAGCTATAACAACCAACACTCAACAGAAGATACAAGTTTCACAAAATGGCTTCAATTAATGTTGAACTACCAACTGACTGATGTTTTGTCACAACTGTTGCCATTTTACGGAGTAGCGCAGCGTAGCGGCCCATAGGAGTATGGAGCGCGTAATTTACCAACAGCTGACAAACTACTAACAAATCGATTCATAATCAGAAAAACAAAGGATATTATAGCTATAATTTGAGTATGTTTTAGTTGTATAAACACACGATATAGTTCCAATTAATTACCGTTTTTATTTATTTCAGTTTTCATTAATTTAGTACATTAACCTTGGTTCTGAACTCCAGAACCTTCAGATTGGGTTTATAAGAGGAGGTCCAATGTGACCTGGATCAGAGATGACCCAGGAAACTGTTCTGGTTGGAAGATCAACCTGCTGCCTGTAAAACTGGAGCGGTTCTGACCCAGATAGTGTTCACATCCCTGCAAGAACCAACGGCAAATAAAAACTGGACTCGGATCAGAAAAAGTTCTCCTTTTAAATATTAAGCCAGAACTGATGCAAACAGACTCTGAACCGGGACAGAACACGATCCGGATCATTCTGTTTGATGGAGGGAATAGTTTAGATCTACCATCAGAACTGGTTCTGATACCAGTTTTAAAATTAAAACATGTTCTTAGTTTGAGATCCAGAACGGTTTCAATCCGTTTGGTTCCGTCCACTTTTCCAGTTTTAGTCTCAGTTTCCTGGTTCTGAAAATGCTGCAGTGATCGGATAAAACCCAGAAAGCATCAGAGAACCAAACCCGTCCTCATTAATTCATCTGAGGAAGCAAACGGTTCTGGATCACGTCCTGTTCTGGACTCCGGGTCTCAGCAGATTCATCTGGTTCTGATGGTTAAAGCCTGCTTTCATGTTGGAACAGCAGGCAAACCAGACCAGAACCCAAACGGACTCCATATCAGTAAATCATGTCAGTTTGGAGCAGTGGATCAGGACGAACAGGAAGTAGAGGTCCTACATGGAATTCTACTTCCTGTTACCTGAGCAGGTTCCTCTGAATCACCTCCATTGTCAACATTTGAGTGAAATAATTTATTTTAAAGGATTGCTTAAACATCGAACACAAAAGCCAATCTTTATGCCGATATGTTAACAGCTCCAATTAATATTGAAATTTCATTTGTAACATTTCCTGTTTTACTTTCATCATGTTTGTGTGATTCCTTTTTTTCATTCTTCATCTCTGTTCAGTTTCGTTTCATGTCAAATATATATATATATATATATATATATATATATATATATATATAATTGTTATGGTGTGTTTTTTAATTCTCAAAGATAAAACAAACAAAAACAGAAAAACAAGTAAACACAGGAGACCGGAAGTCGGGCCAAGCTGACGGCTTCTCATCTTTAACTCAATCATGTTGATTAGAAACTGAGTGGAAGTTTATTTCCGGTCACTCATGGTGATATACATCCAGCTGCCTGATCAGTAAATTAACCCGACATTAATCCCAGCTTGAATTAATGATTAATGACTGATTATTGGCGTCTTTCCGGCGCTCACCGCTGTTGTTGCTCCGCGGCTCATCTGCCTCCGCCAGCGGGACGACGCGCAGCTTCTTGCCGCCTGTGGGGGCTTCCTGGTCGGCGTCTCTCTGCTGCTTCTTCCGGAACACCTGGAACTGGGAGCTCTGCTGCAGCGAGCAGCCGGCCGGCCCGCAGCTCACCAGCATGCACTGCATCCCTCCGTCCGCCGGCCGCCCGACCACAGCCAGGTCGCAGCCCGCCTCTTCGCAGCAGGCGGCCTGGCAGCTCTCCGGGTTCGACACCTCCTGGATCTGGCCCAGGTAGCGCACCCCCGCTGCGAGGGAGTCCGGGTCGAGGCCCTGGTTCGGATCGGTGGACTGGTCCCAGTCACAGGTCTGAACCCGTCCGAGCCGGACCAGGAAGCAGAGCAGGAGGAACTTTGGAGTGAACATTGTGAGGATTGATTTTCTTCTAATCCTGGTGGAAGCTGTAAGAATCCAAGCCGAACCGAACCTCAACAGCTGGTGACTTCCGCCTCTTCCTGCGCTTTGTGTCGCAGTTTAGTTTACCTGCGACAGGTGAAGTCACTTAAGCCACGCCCCTGGCGACACAACAGGACAGCAACATTCCTCCTGCTCTGCTTCCTGGTCAGAAAACCAGATTGTTTTCTGAAATACGACACATTTAATAATGGAATAAAAAGATAACCAAAATGAGAGCTGATCTGCAAAAACATCAGAACACATTCAATATCAAAACTTAAATGAAGTCAATTCAGTCCTTCCGTGTCCAGCTGTTTATTTTTTATTAATAAAACAAACAAAACAATAAAGCAGTGCTAGCACACAGTGAACAGAGAACAGAGATTTTATTTTCATTTTGAATATGCAAATTATACCAAGTGTCCCACTTGGTATAATATAAATCTTGCAATAGCAAATGAAAGTTTAAAGAACTAACTATAGAACAACCAAGAATTAAATAAGAGTATTAGCTTTATGTTTTTTAATTGTCATAAGAAAAATAAACAAAATCCAGAAACAAAACAATCTTTATGGAACTATTAAATATAATCACTAAAGTGTTTTTTTTCTGTAGTTCAACTAGAAATAAAAGTGTAAAATACTTAGATGTGTGTTTGTGTGTGTATTAATATAGATATATCCATATATATGACAGTGTCTGTAATTAATTTATTGCAAGTAACATTTTCAATTCAAAAACCCTTTTTGTTGCTAAATTATTGAACAGTCATGAGCTCCACAGTAAATACATTTATAGTTTTTATTCTGATTATTTAAAGTTAATCTTTCCAGAGTTTCAGGAAGCCCTGATCATTCATGGAGCTTATTTAGAAACATGGACTATGGATGCTAACATTAGCATTAGCTGCTACATCTTTAGCATTCAAGTGCTATTTGAGGCTTCAATAGCTGTGCTAGCAGGCTAAATACTTTTAGCACAACTTGATCACAACAACAATCTTTCCAGCGTCCAATCAGATTGTGTAGAAGCAGAACTTCCAGAGAAGCCGCTTTTCACAGATGTTACTGTGCGTTAGATTTACCATCATGACATAAAAATGCAACTGATTGCGTTACATTTTTAACACTGAATGTCACTCGCTCCAACGGTTCCCCTTTAATGAGAGCTGAAGCTGGTGGACTGGACTTCTCTCTGAAGTCTTTTATTCTGTTGATTTTCAGTTTTAAGTTTAAAAATAAAACCAAAATAAACCAAAAATAAAACCACCTGACCAGGTGAATCATCCTCTCGCTCCAACAGGCTGATGATAACTTTGTCATCAAACTTCAATATCTAATGTCTGTTTACTTAAAATCTGACCTGTTATTATTTCTGTTTGATCACACCTGTGTGTCATCCTTAAAATTACACCATTTGTGACTAATTAGGGGTGAGATGATCTTGTGATGTTGAAACATGATTTTTTTCTTGTTAAAGCCAAACCAGACCATTAGGCCTCAGACATGTTTCTATGTTTGAGGCTCTTTTTTAAAGTTAGAGATAAACTACTTCCTGTCTTCAGTCACTCATCAGCTGACTTCCTGCTCTGGATGTCATAATAACCACACACTGACGCTGGCGCAACGCCACAAACATGAAAAGAAATGATAAAATACAGGAAATATGAAGCTAATAATGGATTAGCTTCATATCAACATGTCTGCTCTAGTCTTATCACATCAGTCTCTGTTTCTGTCTTATTTCTTGGAGATGTTTTTCGCTTTAAAACATTTCTGTGTTATTCATCATTTATTCTTATCTTATAGTTTATTCGTGTTTACCGTTTCTGTTATTTTCAGCGTTTTTTCCTTCATCTGTGTCCCAGATTGGTTTGGTTCTCCCTTCCCTAGCTGTCTCTACTTCCCTCTGATTAGCTGGTTCCTTACCGACTCTCTTCTCTTCTTCTGTGTTTTGTTCCCGACTGGCTCCTTTAGTTTTTCTCTGTGACTTTCTACTGCAGCTTTTCTCTGTAATGTTCATTTGACCTTCATTAAGTTGCTTTTTTAAAGATCTTATCTGCACTTTGGTGCGACTTCAAGCACATGGCAGAAGGAATGGTAGTTTGTTGTTCTTGGGTTAGATTGAAGTTTTAAAGTACTGATAAAACTTTGTACTGATATAACCGACATGTTGAATATGCCAATTAATGTAGGTTGTCATAGTAAAAGCTCCCATGATGCCGTTGGTTTTGATGTTTCCTGTGTTTCTGGTGATAATAAATTGAAGTTTGTGATTTTTTAGAAGAATCTGAGCAGACATGGAGCAGTACTCAATGCTGAAATGAAAACAGCTGAATTGTTTACTAACTCGGTGAAATCAGCCGTTCGTTTCCTCGTTCCGTCTTTAGAACAGACTGACTCTTCAGTGCCATCTGGTGGCCATTAAAACTCATCACACCCCAGTGTCGGACTGAAGCAGGTTCACCAGTGAATACGTGAACTGGCCGTGCTGAGGTTTAATTTTACGTGCTGGTGGGAAGAGTCTGTCCATTTTTAACTTCTGAACCAGAGCAGCACCAGCCGGTCGTCCATGTTGGATTTCAGAGAGTTCTGGACTGGTGTGGTGCTGCGGGCCCAACCTCTGCACAGAGGACCCTGAAATCCTCAGGATGGGGACGCACTCAGGATATTTATATAAATTTGGAGGTTGCAAGGTTGTTTATGACGATGTAGAGAGGAAAATGTGTTTTCATTGTATCTTAATTTATAAATTGCACATATTTTAATGAATAGATTTTATTATATGAATTTTGGGGTTGCAGGGTTGCCTACATAAATATGTAGGCAGAAAAACAAGTATTCTTATTGTATTTTGTTTTATAAATTGTTTACTGTAGAGCAGGGGTGTCAAACTCCAGTCCTCAAGGGCCGCTGTCCTGCAGTGTTTAGATGTGCCACAGGTAAAAAACAGTGGAATGAAATGGCTTAATTACCTCCTCCCTATGTAGATCGGTTCTCCTGAGCCTTGCTAGTGACTTAATTATTCTTTTCAGGTGTGGTGCAGCAGAGGCACATCTAAAAGTTGCAGGACAGCGGCCCTTGAGGACTGGAGTTTGACACCCCTGCTGTAGAGGAACAGCTCCTCACCCACTCAGCTCCTCCAGACTAGCCAGCAGCAATTAGCAAACATCTGGTGGAACTGAGCATCTGCTGATCTCATTAAAGGAGCCACTTCTCAGAGCAATGCTGGTAAAATGTTGTTAAAATGTTAATAGAGTCACTTTGTAATAACTTCCTGAAGGCAGAACTTCAGAAAGAACAAGCGTTTCTTAAAGAGACAGAGCCCCAATTTCAAGGCAATAAATTACAAATTTCTTTTAAGTCATATTTAAAAAACATGGCATTGTTATTACAACTGAAGGCAACAGTTACTTGATTGTGCTATAAAATGACACTGTGCCTGGAAAACACATAATCCTGCCCCTTTAAGAGCCGCCTCGTTAGGATTGGCTCGTCTCTCTTTGCAGTGGAAAATGGTTGTTTACAGCACAGACAAGCTTCATAGCGTCAAACTGGTGCATTACATACGTCACAGGGAAATGTTAGCGATTGGGTAAAATTTAAAACCTTCACATTGCTCCCTGCACCTCAATAAAAGGCAAAGACCGTCGTTTCGTTTTGTTGGGTTTTCTCTTCGACTTTAAATCTCTATATTTTTGGCTTGCTTGAGCTGTAAATATATTTTGATTGTGTAATAAATAAGTCTACTTATTTAAATCTGTCTTACGAGTATTCACTAATGCATCTCACAGAGGCATATTAAAAACAAACATCAATGGCCTTCAGATTTTTCCATCATTGTTTCAAAAAAACAACCAAAGATGGAAAATGTGCAACTAACGTGACCCTGAGTTACATTTCTCTAACCATTTGAAACTTTAAGATGTAGACCTCACCACTGACTCTGCTTCTCTGCTCCAGTTAAAACCCTCTGCAGTCACTGTTACATGACCCAGCAAAAACCACATGACCAACCCCCATGTAACACAAACAACATGGAAATAACCATCATCAATAAATGATATCAGCCGATAACAATGCAGCTTTCAGCTTCTATGCACCATAAATCTGGAACAAACTTCCAGAAAACTGCAGAACAACAGAAACACTGAGTTCCTTTTGAACCATAATAAATGAAACAATGACCAAAATATTTGATGATTAGCGATGATTTTGATGATGACACTCATCAAAATGTAATGTTTGTTACTGGTTTCTCGAATAGTGACTATGATGTTTTTATGACTTATTATGATATAAAGCACTTTGAACTGCCTTGTTGCTGAACAGTTCTGTACAAATAAACCTGATCGATTGATTGATCATAGCGTCTAATATCTGTGTGTACACTATTAATTAATTTTTTCATGGTAAGCAGTTCAGGCATCAGCTTATGTAAAGAATGAGTGCAATGACATTAAAACTGATAAGTTACTTTCTTGTTCCTACATCCTGAGTGTGAGCATCTTAAACCACTCAGAAGTAAAAGATAGAGGTCAAAAGTGTTGGTTTTTTGTAGTGAGGGACTTGAAAAAGAGAGAAGACAGGAAGAAGCATCTGTGGTGGCCGCGGTTAAAGACGCAGCAGCTGCTTCACAACCTGCAGCTTCAGCCAGGCCAGATTCAAAGTTTCAAACAATCGTTTTCAGAACATTTCGGTTCATTATTCAGATGCATACTCTACCAGAACCTTAAAGAAATGCTGGAATGCCAACAAGGTCAATCTCGCTTTTCCAGGAAGAGTTTCAGCAGCCTGCCTTCATCAATGTTCACAGATATTTACACATCCCAGTGAGAGAAACAAATGTTCTGTTTACTGTAGATTCAAATTCAGAGTTTGCTCTAAAGAAAGGCTTTTTGATATGTTTCCGTGTTTGTTGGTTTTGTTTTTGACTTGCAAATGCGACAGAGAGAATGTGCTGTATGGATCCAGAGCCTGAAGGACGGAGCCGCGTTTGAGGCTGGCAGGCAGGTGAGTCCTGCAGGTGAGGCTCGCTTCAGGCTCAGGTGAGGAGGCTGCACCATGTCGGTGCACAAGCTTAAGATATTTATTCTAACATGATCAGGAGTGCTGAGGTTAGGACGTGCTGGGTTTCGATTGGTTTATTTCCGTTTGAAAAGTGTCAGTATAACTGTGACTGCTAAATACATGAGTGGAACTATTACAGTTTATTTACAGTTTCCGTTTACTGTCTGGCTTCCTGCTTTGTGTAGAAGAACTTTCTTTGGTTTCCATTTAAAACTGGCCAATGTGGAACAACTTTTACAAAATATAACAACCAAACCTGCAGCCTCAGATAAGCATCTACAGACTCACTCTGTTAGAACCTGACTTGCTGTAGAGTTACTGTTCAAATCTGTCACTGAAGAGGAAATGATCTGTTGTTTCTGTTCTGCACGGCCGGGTGAAACGTAGCTGACCCAGAGGAATCAGTGATGACCAACAACTCCACCAACACCACCTGTAATCCGGTCAAGGGATCATCTCTTCATGGATTCATATTCTTCTACAGTTTGGTGTTTGTGGTGAGTCTCAAACTGAAGGGTTGCCAGTCCCCGTTTCATGCTTTTCCTTTAAAAATCTGATTACAGTTACAGTTTTCTTCAGTCAAATCACTTTCAATATTCGCAAAACAGTAAGTGCATTTCTCTAAACAATTTGTACAAAACCCCTCAGATCACCTGCAAAAGACGGCCTCTTTTTCTAAATGCTTAGTTCACCTTTGAAAAGTAAATATCTGAGTCAGGGAGCATAGCAGTGCCTCAGAACAACGAGTCCTTTTCATTGTGTAAAACTGATTGGTCACATTGTAAACATAGCAGTGTACTCTGTTGTAAACTATGGCTAAAGTTTTGATGACAAGTATTGCAAATTGCAATTGTGAGAAATCAATAGCAAGAGTTTGGACAAAATTCACATTTATGCTTTTACTGTAATTTGTTGGCAGACCATGCCGTTGTGATTCAGAAAGGAAAAGACTGCAGAGAACAAAAAGCAAAAAACAAAAAAACAAAACAAAAGTAGAACTGGGAACCTAAGACAAATCCATCAGTGGGGTTCGGGGACAAAGAGTAGGGTGAGAGGAACTCCATCATCATCTTGTTGAGTGTTTCATTGCCTGATGATGTTGGAGCGATGGAAACTGACATCATGTCTTCAGACTCTTCCTCCGTTTTGACTCCTGACTCCTCTTCCTCGCTCTGGTTGTTCATGCTGCCCAATCCTTGCCCTGTAACATTGTGTTGTGCTCTGGCTAGATTACATACATGCCAGTTGATGGTTCATTAGATGCAGCTTTGAGCTGTTCTAGCAAACTGGTTGATCTCGTGCTTCACATGTTCACCTTTGTTGGAGAAAGTCAGGATTCTCCTGTGAGCGATTTATCAATTCAGGACAGAGTTTTAGAAACAAAGTCTAATGGTAATGCATAGAAATATTCTTGACATGAAAAAGGTGAACCAGAAAGAATCTATGGGTTTCAATGCTAACATCAAATGCATCAGTCGAATTTGGTACTCCAATGTTAATCTATTTAAATACAGCAAATATGATCAAACCATGTAATCAGCAGATCTTCAAACAAAGCAACTCAAATCACATTAAAGCAACACAATGAAACAATATCTAAATTGTTCTATCTGAATGGATTTATCTCTGCCCAGACTGAAGGCCTCTCTTACTGCTAAACTACAGTAAACAGGCCCATCAGCAGGAACAATCATTCATCCAGAGCCTTAGTCTGATCTCCAGATGTTCCCTCTGCAGGTGGGTTTGATCCTGAACAGCTACACCTTGTGGTTCCACCTCTGCCGCGCTCAGAAGAAAGTCCCTAAGAGCTGGATGATCTACCTGAAGAACCTGACGGCAGCCGACTTCCTGCTCTGCCTCGGACTTCCTCTCCGCATCGCTGACTATGCAGGCACGTCCGACAAAGTTCACCTGTTCTACTGCACCTATGGAGCCCCCATCTTCTACATCAACATGTACATCAGTATCCTACTTATGGGCTACATCGCTGTCAACAGGTACAACAACTTTTATGAAAATTCTAAATAAAACCTGTACAAATGTCTAACTAAAAAGTTCTGGACCAAGCTTCCCGTCAAACCCAGAAGGTCTCTTTATGGTAGATCTGTATAAGAGAAGGCCTTGCTGACAGTGAAAAAGCTCAGATACAGGCGGAGCAGATCAGGATATGGGAAACTCTGGTCAAACATTCAAAACCACAACAAACCAGGTTTCTATTCTTGACTCTTGGATTGAATGTGCACCTTGTGTGGAGTTAGCCTATTCTCCAACAGCAGGAGCTGAAGTTCATCAAACTCGTATGAGTTGAGGTTGGATGGACTTGAGCAGCAGTTGCAGTGACATTGTTGCTGCTGTGGTGATGCTAAGCTTAAAGGTTTAAGATGGTAATTCATCTGTTGACCTTTGCCTGAAAGTCTGAGGTCATGAAGGACAGGCACCCTACAGTTTCAGTCAGCAGCAGCTAGTTCCTTGGAAAGGTAAAAAAAAAAAAAAAATAGATTCCAGAAATTTACAAGAATTGCATGTGATCTGAGGATGATATAGTGTCTCAGCTGTTAGCACTGTGGCTTTGCAGCAAGAAGTTCCTGGATTTAAATCACAGGAATCTGTCATGAATTGTGTAGTTTGTGGTGAGGATGAACACAGTGGACCCAGATTGTTGATGAAAAATTATGGTTTTAATGATGAATAATGAAGTTCCCAAAGTACAGGCAGCACAGGAGAGCAATAAGGTAAGGAGCACAGACACTGGCAGCAACTGGAAAGGCACAACACAGAAACTAGGCCGACACAGGCTGACGTCAGACAAGGACCCGGCAGGGAGCAGGTGATGCAGATGGGGTTAAATACACAGGGGACTAATCAGGGTAACAAGGGACAGCTGGGAACAATTAATGGCTAGACACGACAACACAGGGACTAAATTAACAAAAAACACAGAAACCTAAATCCTCACGTAATCCTTTTTCCATGGAGTTTGCATTTTCCCCCTGTGCAAGTTTAAATTCTCCATAGGTACTCCAACTTTCTCCTATGGTCCCAACACACCTGTGTCAGGTCTTTAAATTGCCTTTAGGTTAGAGTGTGTGCATGTTTGTTTGTCCTGTAATGAACTGGTGACCTTTTAAGGGGGTTCCTGCCTCTCGCCTCCAATGA